AGCTGTAACACTGGTCCATCTGAGAGCTGTAACACTGGTCTGTCCGAGGGCTGTAATGCTGGGCCATTGCTTCAAATTTTTGTTGTGATGAGACAGATCTGAGGAAATTACACACTCCCCTGACACTTCCAATGAATATTCATGGTTGATTTCCTTTAGGATTGACTGATTTGATCTCCATGATGTCCAAGGGACTCTCAAGAATCTTCTCCAGCACCATAATTTGAAAGCATCAGTTCTTTGGCACTGAGCCCTCTTTATGGCCCAACTCTCACTACGGTACCTGACAATTGGAAAACCATAGTTTTGACTATATGGACCTTTGTTAGGAAAAGTGATGTCTCTGCTTTTTAATATGCTATCTAGGTTTGCTCTAGCTTTCCTTCCAAGGAGCAAGGTTCTTTTAATCTCATGGTTGCAGTCACTATCCACAGTGATTTCAGAACCCAAGAAAACCAAATCTGTAAGGAGCAAGGTTCTTTTAATCTCATGGTTGCAGTCACCATCCACAGTGATTTCAGAACCCAAGAAAACCAAATCTGTCACTGCTTTCACTTTTCCCCCTTCTATTTGCCATGAAGTGATGAGACCAGATGCCAAGATAGTAGCTTTTTTAATGCTGAATTACAAGTCACCCTTTTCACTCTCCTCTTTCACCCTCACCAAAAAGCTCTTGATGATGTTCCTCTTCACTTTCTGCCATTATAGTGGTATCATCTGCACATCTGAGGTTGTTGATATTTCTCTGGGCAATCTTGATTCCAGCTTGTGATTCATCCAGCCCAACATTTTGCATGATGTACTCCGTACACACCCAGTTATGGAGGACTGGCTGAGCCCCTGAGGCTAGCCCTAGGCTGAGGGGCATTGGTGATAAAGGAGCAAGCAGATAGGCACTCAAGATGAACAAATCCTAAACTCCAAGAGAAAACAGCAGCTCACATAACCCTGTGGCTCAAGTTTATAAAGCTAAATTCTGACTTCAAGCAATTCAATGCTAACTCCCACCAAGCCCTAGTGTCCCGGAAAGCCAGTGCACCACAGGGGCAGCTCAGGAATCTGTCCTAGTCTCTTTTATCCAGTGCCTGCCCCAGTAAAAATGACTTCAAGTAAGACAGAGAAGACAGCTTGGAGAGAAGGATGGCTGAGGTCCAGCTGGAAATAAGCTTCAGCATCTGGATGCAGTGACTGCATGGGTTGGTATTCTGTGGAAAAAATCTGGGCAAAAAACGATGGTTTTTGCACAGCTATTCTGGAAAGAGTATCGACAAGCACGAGACAGTCTTTGATGGGTGTTTGGTGAGCTGGAATAAATCATCCATGGGAATGGGGTATGTGCCCTTCTAAGAGGAAATAAATATCGGCTGCACAAGTTTGAAATGAGTGGAAAACAAGCCCAAATCTCAGGCAGATGAAACTGCAAGGACTCCAGAGCCAGAAAAGATCCTATCCTATTTTTTTTCTTCATCCTGAAGTTAACCAGATGGAGACTTTTTTTTTTAAAGTACCAATCTATTCATATACTTGGAATGAAAGATTTTGCTTTGTGATGGAAGATCTGTATTTAATTGCAAAAATAAGACAAAACATCTTTTTTTTCCAAATCTAGCGTTCAGATAAATTTTATTTCTTTTCTTCCCTCTCTCCTTTCCCCTCCTTTACTTCCCTTTTCTTCTTCTGTCTCTTCTCTTCCACTTTAGATGATATGTTTATGACTGCATGTTTGTAATGTATTCTGGACAGTGTAATAATAGAGCAGACTCCTATAGACAAAGTATATGAGAGAAGGTATACATATGAAACACAGAACAAAAGAGATGTAACGTCCTCTTATAGTGTTCTTTACAATGACAATATGCTGAAAAACCAGTGATAAGAATTCACAAAACATGAACCAGAATAAGTAAATAGAAAGAAAAGATAAGTGGCAAATGAATCATGTAAAAAGGCCATTGACAGTGCATCAGGAAACTCTCCAGGCTGTGCTTGAGACCCTGAGTTTCAGTTCTTCATCTATAAAATATGGATAACAACTGTACCTAACCTGTAGGGGTTCCAAGAGGATTAAATAAAATAGTACATGAAAGGCTCTTGGAATTGAGACTAAATAAGTCTTCAAAATAAATATTAGGCATTGTGATTATTATGACTATCACTCAAGGATTAACAAGATTATACATATAAATCTTTCCCATGGGAAAATGCACTCAATAAGGTACAATTATTGTTGCTATTATTATTATCATCATCATTGCTATTCTTTTTGTATCTCTGTTTTCTAGGTGGTTTATGTCTCTTTGCTTGGTCTCTTTGAACTGATGCTTTATTGGATAGTCTGTTTTTTTCTTGATTCAGATTTTGCTCCATCTTGCTAACTTCTGGACTTCCTTAGATTTTGCTTTCTGTAACACATGGGCCAATCATGCTCCATCCGGACATCCAATGAAACTATATATGTAGAATTATCCAAAGTAGAACTCTACATGTAGCTGTATTGATGGTGCAAAATCAACTAATTAGGTAAATGCCAACAGTTTCCATGATTCTTGTCAAAAACCATAGTGGACTATTATGAAGATTTTATTAATGGTCAGAAAAGAGTCACTCTTTAAAATTTAATTTCAGGCTCAGGAAGTAGGCATAACCAATTCTTGTCCACCAAAGTATGTCAAAATGTTTGGGCAAAGATGGCTTATATCCATAGCAATGGAACAAACTCTAAGCCAAATACTAGGAAAAGCACTTCTTGACTGACACAGACGTTCAACTGGCATACTAAATCTCCGAAAAGCTACTGATGGACAGCTTCATGGACAATGCATCCTGCAAAAAGAGTTAGTTTAATGAATCACTATTTTTGTTATAAAAGACTCCAGGTTGTGTCTGCTATGAATTCTGGGTCTTCCAAGGTAATTATACCATAATGTGGGCTTGTAAAGGTGTTTGTTTCAGTAATGGGTTTTCTTTGTGTCACAGAAAGGGAGTGGATATTTAAGTTGAAAAGTTGTGTAAATATATGACACTACGTTTAAATAGGAAATCATCAAGCCCCAATCCCACTGCATCTTTGGCACAGAGTGATGTCTTCTTCTGAACTTTCCTATTGAGAACAATCAAATGTTATTTAATTTATATTTCCCAACTAGACAATGAGCTCCTTAAACCTGGGACTATTAGGGGACCAATTCATATATCTTTATAGCCCGGCACAAGAGTGGAGGCACACAACTGGCTCTTTGAATCTAGCCTTTCACCTATGCATCCACCAACTTTGAGAGAAAATGCAAGGCATCTAAGAATAAGATACAAACACAGAGAGAAATGGAAATTAATGGTCATTTATATCCACATTCAGCTTGGGATCAGACCACTTTTGATTTGGCTGAACATTCAGAAGAGCTGGAGAAGAGCAGACCATAAACAGATGACTTCAATACAACATAGTAAATGTGAGGTTGGGTAACCAAGGCTGGGTCTCATTTTCCCTTGCTTTTCCACATTTAATCCCTCAGAGGTCTGCTGATCTTTCGACCTCAATTCTCAGTCATTATTGCCACTGTCCTCATTCAAGCCCTCACGGCTTTTTGTCAGTGGGTCAATCTATTGAAGCTAGTCTCTTTTCATTGGGCTATATACGCCTAAGCCTTCTTCCTGATGGATACTAGCCAGTATTATAACAGAGATATGACAACATCTGTCATTCTTCCAATCTTTCACCTGTTCTTCTAGATCTACTACCTAAAATTTCAACTCCTTAGCATGTTTTACAGGGAATTCTTCTGTGTGGTCCCTGACCAGCTCTCCCAATTGCAAGCCATTTTTCTAAGAACAGTTTATGCCACAAGTGAAAGTTTGCAATTATCCTCAAATATGCCTTGTTATTTTTTCACTCAGATATCTTTGTGTCTATGCTAGTTCTCCTACCTAGAAAATATCTCTGCCTTTCTTTGTCTGGTTGGTCCCTATTAATCATTAAAGCTCAGCACAAATACTGTCTCCACTGCCAAGAATTTCTCAATCTAGCTTTGTTCCTGCTCTGTGTCTTATACCTCAGGTATAGTATACATCTCACTTTTATTGATCTTCTGTCTTCCCTATGAGATGACGCCATGAATTCAACATATTTTCTCTAAGCACCTTTTATGAACCAGGCACTGGTTGGATACACGATATGGCCCATACCTTTAAAGAGCTCCTGTGTGTAAGTTGCTTCAGTCATACCTGACTCTTTGCAACTCTATGGACTGTAGCCCACTAGGTTCCTCTGTCCATGGGATTTTCCAGGCAAGGATACTGGAGTGGGTTGCCATGCCCTTCTCCATGGGATCTTCCTGACCCAGGGATTGCACTGGGCTAGATACAAAGAGAAGTATGATATGGTCCATACCTTTAAAGAGCTCCCAGATTTCTAGAAAAGACAGATTATCTCAGAATGTGCTAAGAACTAAAGTTATGTCTTACAGATCAAGTAAAACTAGCAAGTGACAAAGAACTCTCCAAGCAGAGCATATGCCAAGGCACAGAGGAGTCGAATAACATGAGCCATGGGGAAGCCGTGAGTAGGGCAATCCAGCCTTAGTGACAAGTACACATGTCAGACTGGAAGGGATAGACCACAAAGGGAATGATGTGCCCAGAAAACTATCTGAACTATGCCCCCAGGGCTATGAGGAACCAGTGAAGGATGCTGGCTAGAGATTAACACAGTCCTTTTCACAGAGTAGAACATCACTCTTGTTGCCATGAGAAAAATGGGTTGTTATGTGAAAAGAAAGCTAGGTGAGAAGATCGGTTAGTCATCAATGCCTGGACCAACATTTATTCCTTTGGCAAACGCAGGCAGCATATGCTCCATATGTGAGGTTGTATGCTAAGGAAAAAGTTAATTCTGATTTAAGAGTCTGCAAATCTTTCAGATACTGGGTATAAAGAATATGACAAAATGGACTAGTCAAGGGTGGAAAAACATTAAAGACCATAGGAAGAAAGTGTCAACTTACCAATTTTCCAGTAACGCTCTGACCACCTTCATTCAGCCAGAACCCAGGGACCATGGCTGAGAAATAAGGGCCCCAGACACCTGGTACAAAGATTGGGTTTTTGCTGATCTGGAAAGAAAGGGGCAAAGTATGTGAAAATATTGACCCTCAAGGCTAGAAGCAGTCTTATTTTCCTCCCATGTGAGGTCCCTCTGGCCATGGAATTCAGCTTCTTGCTAAATACCTTTGATGGTGGGGAAGTCACTCCTGCCAAAGGATGGTCCTGGCTTCTTCTTTAAAAACCTTTCTGATAAATTCATCCAGGTGTCAAGGTAGCAAAAGAGATCATTTTGGAAAGAAACTGATGTGACAGTCCTTGGCTGGCTCCCTCTCTGTAGTGAACTGATTGCAGTCATGGTCCCCATTTTCTAGCCCTCTATGCATCCACCTGCTTTGCAATGTGACTTCGTAGCCTCTGTCATTGAGAGGTGGGGTCCCCATCCCTTGAGCCTGGATCAACCTTGTCACTTGGTCTGGCCAACAGAATGGGGCAGAAGTGACACTGTGTACCAGTTTTCAGGCCTAAACCTCAAGAACTGTGTGCTGTTATTCCCCCTCTCCCTCTGTCATGAGAACATGCCCCGGTGAGCCTTCTGGACAGATATGCAGAAAGCTGAGTCAGTCCAGTTGTCACACGTGATGATTCAGATACATGAGACAGCCCAAATCGGATCAGCAAATCCTTTTAGTCAACCAGCAGCTGGCGAACCTGGATCACCAGAATCACTCAGCCAACTGATAAGATTTGTTAACAAAAATACACGTCCTGTTGTATGTCATGAGGATCTTATATTTGTTTCCCATCTAACATATATAAGGCAAGAGATAACTGATATGTCCCCTTACTTCTACAAACATTTATTAGACACCTAATAACATACTATCTCTCTTGACTAGGGACATGGAGATGAATGAGAAAGAGCTCTAGTCTGCAAGAAACTCCTCCTTTAGGGGGAGCTAGATAAGTAAATAGTCAAATAGAAAACAGTGTGGTCCATGGGATGGTAAAGACAAAGCATAGAATGCTATGGAGAGGCACATCAGGTAAGGAATGAAGTGGTCCAGAGTGTGGCTTCTTAGAGAATGGGACATACACTTAGACTAGTAAGATTTAGCAAGATGAAACAGAACAGGCATTCCAGGTCAAGGGAATAGCCTGAACAAAGCCATGTAGGTGAGACAGATGCTCTTGGTATTCAAGATATGGCAATGTCTTTTTGTAGCAGACCATGGAAGTCCATTAGGTGTTAGGAAAGTACATCAAGGGATGAGACAGGACAGGCAGGGATGGACCACATGTTTACTGATCTGGAAAGGCATGAGCTTCTCATCCACCCAGTGGAGACGAATGCTGAAGTGATATTATGGTTGTGGGGGGTGTATGAGAAGGTAAGGATGAAAACGGAGTTAGGTACATTGGGTCCACTCCCGAATGTCCTGAAGCTGGGCAGAGAATGTATGCATTCATTTATTCTACAAATATTTATTCAGCTCTTACTATGCCAGGCCCTAGGGATACAGAAGTGAACTGAATATATCTACAATCTCTGTGCTCATGGACTTTATAGTACAGAACTTCAGCATATGGATAAACCTTCTAACTATTCTGGTTCTCTTATCACTAAATGAATGAAATCAGTCAAATCAGTAGGAGTTCCAATCCCCGAAAAGGAAAGGGGTGAGTGAAGGCAGGAGACTATACAATATTATCAACTTTAAATTTTGTCAAATAAATATGGTTTATAAAAAGGGTAAATTTAACACCTAAAGTAATCTCAGGGGTAAAGAGCTTTTCTGTTTTTTTTCTTCCCCCCTGCAAGGAAAGGCCATTTAACTTTTATATGTTCACTCATTTCTTGACGGGTTCAGCAGATGTTTCCTGATTTCCTGTTGTGATCCAGGCACTGAAAGTAAACGTACACCAAAGAGTGCAGTCTCCATCTTCATGGAACTGCTCTCTTAAGAGGAATGCAGACTAGGAGGACTGATGATTCAGGTTTGGCCAGGATTCTCTCACTTTTAGCATTAAAATTCCTATGTCCTAGAAAATTCTCAGTACTAGGCAAAAGGGACAGCTGGTCACCCTAAGATGGGTATCACACAAATGTACAAATACAAACAGTGATAAGTGAATGAAAGAATATCAAAAGGTATTATAAGGGCTCATAAGTGAGGTACCTAATGCAACCTAGGGGTCAGAGTTTTCCAAAGAAGTGATATCTGAATTAAGGTGAAAACATACACAGAAATTATTTAGGTGTGAGCATATATACATCTGTATTTTGTACATATATATGTGTGTTTGTACGTGTACATGATTGTTCCAGTACAGAGTGTTCCAGACAGAAGCAGCACACACTAACTGGTATTCATTTTTATCACTTTGTCTTTGCCAGTGAAAATTTTATCACATGCCAGCTCTAGAAACTACTGCCCTACTCTGCAATGCCTGAGCCACTGTGGGGTGAATAAGACAGCCCATGACTATAAGCAGTTAAGCCCCAGGGTTTAGATGGGTAGATGGACACCCACCGGAGTCAAGCCATCTCTTTTCATGCCCTGCACCCCTTCCCGTCCAGAATTCTTCCAGCACCATTCGACAGATTAGTTTCAGAGAGGTGGCATGTTGTTCACAGTCACAAAGGTTGTAAATGGCTGAGGTGGGAGTTGAGCCCAGGTAGATACTGGCGTCAAACCCCAGGATATGCTTTTTGAAAACAAACAAAATTTGTATAAATTTCTTAGGAGGGTTTTGCATCACTCCTGCCACCACCACCCCTCAACTGCCCCTGCACCTCAAACCCCACGATTTAAAGATGTTTCTGTATCAGTTTTTGCTGAACTCCACTGGCAGACTGGACTCCGCTGCTCAGAAATGGCAGGTGAAGGCGCTGTCTGACTGTCCAGAATGCTCTGAGCTGATTCCTGCTTGTGTTCACTCATTTGGAATGGCACATGCTTCTCATTGGATATCCTGACTACAGCAAGGAAACAGATACAGAAATATGTTCCCCAGAGCACCTCCAATTACTCCCAAGCTCTGGGAGAAAACAGGTAAGAGTTTGTTTAGACCGAGTGCACATTCATGTATTTATATGTACTCTAATCCTCTGCAGTAAACCTAAATACTTCAGAAAATTTTTGTGAAAGCCTTTTCCATGCTGATAGCTATCTTGGCTTGAAGGCTGCTCTGGGACTCAAAGGGAAGGAGCGCATTTTACTCCACTATTAATAGGTGTCCATACAGGACACTGACTGACTTTCCAGCAATAATGTGCTATTGGCAACAGCAACCACTGCAACTGATTGGGGACTTATTAAAGACCATATTTTAAGCACACTGCAGGAAGTAAATCACTTGATCCCCACAATAACCCTAAGGGGAAGATTCCATCATTACTCCTATTGTTCAGATATGTAAGCCGAGGCAGAGACTGTTAAACAGCATACATGCTCAAGCTCAGTTGCTTAGTCATGTCCGACTCTTTGCAATCCTGTGGACTGTGGCCCACCGGGCTCCTCTGTCCATGGGGTTTCTCTAGGCAAGAACACTGGAGAGGGTTGCCATTTTCTCCTTCAGAGGAGCTTCCTGACCCCGGGAGTGAACCCACATCTCCTGTGTGTCCTGCACTGGCAGGCGGATTACCACTGAGCCGCCTGGGAAGCCCATTAAATAGCACACACAAGGTCATAAAAATACAAAGCAGCCAGGCTCTACAGGTTCTGTGTTTGCTCCTGTTCTGTATTTCTTCTTGACTTTAGGTGACCGCTGCTTCTTTGAGTCCTTCATTTACCTTTAAAGGGCAGAAAGCAACGGTCATTAGAGCCAAAAGAGACTCACTGAGACTGAACCAACCTCTTTGCCTTGATGACACGTCGCTTAGGGAATCTTCATGTGCAAAAGGCTTTTGATGAGTTTCCCCCTATACACTTGTGAAGAGCAGAGGAGAAAGAAAGGACTGAGTCAAAGGCCTGTCTTCACTCTATCATGACTACCATGTTCTTAGCCAAGTGACCTTATGAAAGGCAATCTTTCTGAGCCTCAGTTTCCTCAGTTCCAAAATGGGAAGAATGATATAAATGTGGTAGGACTTTCATGAAAATAAAATAAGCTGTCACCTATAAACAGCTTATTATATGTTAAATGTCATGTAAAAGTTAGTTCTTGAAATGAGGAAGGTATGATGGGATAGTCAGGTGACTGGGATGAATGGCCACAGCCAAAAGTAACTGCTACCATTAAGCACACATCCTGGTAACTCAGTTGGTAAAGAATCTGCCTGCAGTGCAGGAGACCTGGCTTTGATCCCTGGGTCAGGAAATCCCCTGGAAAAGGAAATGGCAACCCACTCCAGTATTCTTGCCTGGAAAATCCTACAGACAGAGGAGCTTGGTGGGCTGTAGTCCATGGGGTCGCAAGAGTAGGACATGACTTAGCAACTAAACCACCACCACCACCACCACCACCATTAAGGAAGTCTCTAGATGCATTCTTGGTTTCATTTAGTCAGCATTCTTAATAATGAAGTAGAAGATGACATGGGCTTCCCAGGTGGCTCAGTGGTAAAGAATTTGTCTATCAATGCAGGACATTGAGGGGATGCTGGTTCGATCCCTGGGTCAGGAAGATCCCCTGGAGAAGGAAATGGCAACCGGCTGCGGTATTCTTGCCTGGAGAACCCCATGGACAGAGGAGCCCGGCAGACTACAGTCCATGGAGTCACAAAGAGTTGGACATGAGTTTGAGTGACTCAGCAGAGCACATAGAAGCTGATATAGAAGCAAAGTTTATCATATTTTCAGGTGGTATAAACTTGGGAGAATTACTTATCATGAGCCATGTCCAAATCATGATTCAAACTTACTTTAAGAATTAGAACATTAACATTTATTAAATCGTAAAGTCAAAATTTTACACTTAAAAGGTACTGGTAATAGTCCCTTCTGGAATATTCCTTTTCCTGGGTGATGTTACATGAGCATTCAATTTAGTATGATTTGAATGGAAACCTTTGACATATTGTTTAATTATGTGTGATAGAAATAAAGTTATAAAAACCTACAATAAA